TATTGCACGAGAATTTTATATATAAGATATCATGATTTGCATTCACATATTAAAGAATAATACATATACATATTTATATAAATACTAGCTGTCCCGGCAAACGTTGTTTTGCCATATACATTAATAACGCTATAAAAAAATAGGGGTTGATGATAGAAGGGTGAAAATTTGGGATTGTATGTATTTTTGTATGTTGTCTCATAAAAACTTAGAAACTAAAAATATTGTCTAATAAAATAAAATAAAAATTTAGGGATGGACTACCCCTAACATTTAGGGGGATGAAAAATAGATGTTGGCGGATTCTCAGACCCACATACGCTCACAAAATTTCATGAAAATCGGTCCAACCGTTTCGGAGCAGTATGGGAACGAAAACTATGACACGAGAATTTTATATATGTATAAGATAATTATAATAATTATAGAAGCCAACGGAATATCAGCGCTGCAGATTTATCTGTAGCTTTATGCTGAGTTGATTGCCGATTCATCTTTTGGACACATAAAGGCACTTCCATTTTTTAATTAGTACAATATAAATTTCTGTATCTTATATATGCTATGTGTTTGTAATCAAAATACTAATCTATCTGTATTGTATTTATTTATTAAATAACGACATCAGTAAATATTTACAATTGAATTAATTACTGTGTACTAAAATTTAGGATAGATTTATACGTACACAGGGCCATCTATCGTATAGTAAATAGATGCTAAAATTAGTGATAATAAATATATAATAATTAAAATATGAATTCATTAATAACAGCATAAATATATTTATAACTAGCTGACCCTCGCAATTTCCTTTGCATCACACTCATTTGACTTTTATCATTATATTTAGCCTAATTTACATAATATCTTTTTAAATTATAGCCTGTATTATTCTGATGTATAAGGTATATTACTGTGAAATTTCATTAAAATCTGTTCAAGACTTTTTGCGTGAAAGAGTAACAAACATCCATCCATCCATACACACAAACTTTCGCATTTATATTATAATATATATAAGATTAACAAGAATGAATAATACTATGCTTCATTCAGCGGGAGAGTGTTGAGTTCAATTAAGGCTATATTAAATAATTAAGGGTAGGTATCAGTACTCGTTATATATGTTAGTATTAACAGTGCAGTGTTCACACCGTTATACTAACTTTATGTGTAGATTGTTACAATTATCTAAAATAATTATTTGTATTATATATCTCACCCTCTCACTCATATACACACCCTCACATACAAACACATTCACAGACATAGGTACACATACAATACACACATAAATAACTGATCTGGTAAGTTTAATTTAAAAACCTATTTTGATAGCCTCGGTGGTCTAGCGGTGTAGAACACAGCTTTACTTCTGATGGTCGCAGGTTCTATTCCTCGCAAACATTTGTATTCATGAGTATGATTGTTTGTATCGGTCTGGGTGTTTTCTATGTATTATTATGTATATATTTTAAAAAATCTAATTCTTTATATCAGTTGCCTAGTACTCATAACAGAAGTCTCTGTTTACAGTGGGACTGGATGGCGTTGTGTTAATTTTAATATTTATTTATTATATTTTATTTTGTGTATGTTTTCAGTCATGCCGTAAACCATTAGCACAGGCGGAAGCATGGTATAACCAACACAATTAAAAAATATATAAACTCAAACTAAATAGACATATCTATCCGTTACTAACAATACCCTCTCTCCTGCTAAATATTTAGATCTAATAATGTTTCAGTCGCATACTATTCGATGTCTTGTCTATAAAGGGAGCACCTACATCTAATAATTTATTCAGGATTAGACCGACATCGATTCGCCCTTCGATTATCGTTTACATGTTGTTTCCAAATCCTTGAAGACTTCGTAAGACTGTTTATGTACGTACAAAGCGACAGTATCCTAGAAATTGTTTCACAGTCTATAAATATATGTTATAGTAAAACTTTGAGCTCTATTAGAGAGAATATAAAATACATTTTTTTCACACACTCGTAAAGTTGGTTTATATTATATATATATATATATATCAGCAAAAACTGTATTTGTGAAAACTGAAACTGTGAATTCAGACCATTATTCTGACTGAAACTGAAAACCAATGGAAATTCTTCCCGGATTTTTTTAAATTTTATTCTTTTAAAATCATGTGAACTATGATATTATGTAATAATATAAAGAAATAATAATATTTCATAGCGAAATAATATAAAATTAATCAAACATCTCGATTTGGAACTCCCCGCGCTGGAGTTTAACTAAGTCACCGCGATAAATATCACATTTCGGCGTCAAAAGTAAGAATCGTTAATTATACAACGGAATAAACTTTGAATCTGATTCAGACCATTCATCTGAATCAGCTACAAAGTTGTACAGAACCTTTTCTGACGGTCTGTATATATGTTTGAGTATATATTGACTGTTCATAAAACATGTGCGTTAAAAACGCAAATACCTTAAGTTATAATAACCGGTATATATACACTGACGCGCGGTCACAGCTAGTAAGGTTATATAATTTTATTGACTCAGCAAAAACTGTATTTGTGAAAACTAAACGATTCATTAAAGACCATTGATTTAGAAATCAATGTTTACCTTTTCTACTCTTCAATTTTTGGGCATTCATAATTGTTGTTTACACAAAATTTATTAATCAAACATCTCGAAGTGGAACTACGCTGGAGTTTTAACAAGTAATAAATATCAATTTCTCGGAAAGTGCTTCAGTAAACACAACGGAATAAACTTTGAATCTTCAAAATTGAAGAATCAGTACAAAGTTGTACAGAACGGGTTCTGACGTCTTGGTTAATTTTGATTGACTTAAGACGTTGTGCCTTACACAATACCTTAATTTAATGGTATATATACACTACGTACGATCGAAATGAACAATCTGATGTCTCCATGTTATTATTGTTATAGCTACTTCTTTTTTGAATAGAAAGAAGTAGCTACAGTATAGAAATGTGCTAACTCGTAATAATTATGACTCAAGTTTACTCGAGTCGAATCGAGTTACCTGGAAGGATCAGTTATTTTTTAAATTATCGAACTATTCTAATGTTTTTGGTTGTAGCTGGTCTTGACAGCTTAACCAATATCAAAATACACTAAACGGAAGCCTTTGGAGCGCATTCATACACTCCTCCTATTTGAGAGCTATTTTTTTAATATGGTATAATAATGAACTTGTATTTCCTTCATATTTAAAATGAATCTGCTAGAATAAGCATTTTCTTCATTTTACACGTTTACTCACTGGTGATTCGGAAATGTCTGTTTACAAATTTCAAAATAATGTTAATGATACCATAATCTGAAGCCAATAATGAGACATTTGTTACATGTTTTAACATTTTATAATCATAGAGCAATAACAGTGATAAAAAAAAACACTTTTTAGGGCCAAGACTTAAGGCTTTAGGATAAGCAGACAGACCTTCCTTTTTATTATTAAGATGAACAGCACCATGGACGTTATGTCATCTTGCTCGTAATACCCCTCATGCATTGATATTCTTGAGGACTAAGCTGTTATTGGAACATTCTCCACGCTATATTTTATTGTCGAAGCAAGCTGCTTAGTGTTGAAAGTGTAATACGGTCAGTATTACATGTATAGGAATAAATGTTTTGTACATTTTTATAAAATATATCACTTTACCTTTGCAATTTTTTTAGTGTCAATGTATAGACCACAAACTATGCCCGCGACTTCGTCCACATGGAATAGTATGTAGATAGCATTTTTAATTATGTAGGCTAATTATAAAATAAGAAAGTTTCATCATTCTAGCCCAGAACAGACTGTACTAGCGAAGATTAACCAGAAGGTACGACCTCAAATAAATAACACTAAAGTCAGGCGAATCAAAGAGGAAAGTTCTTCTCTAGCTTCAAAAATGACGAATTGCCATACAAACTTTTTTCTCCCATTTTAACCCCTTATCACCCTTTTTTCGCATTAAAATGTAATCTATGTCATTTCACAGGGTCTAGATTATCTGTGCAAAAAATTACATTTAAATCGGTTCTGTAGTTTTAGTGTGAAAGCGCGACAGATAAACATACAAAGTTAGTTTCGCATTTAAAATATTATTAAGGATTGCAATTTTAATATATTTTAATATTTTCTTTATTGCGTAATTCTCTATATCTAAAACATAGCGATAGAATAGGTGAGACATAGTCTCAAAAATTACATTGTACAATATTTACGAGTAGGTACAATAAGGGAAATCAAAAAAGAACTACACTTAAAACCATTTTGAACTTCTTTTTGATTACTCGAGTAAAAAATCAGATGATTTGAGCTGACAAAGAATCAGGTCGATGTAAGAAATTCGAAAAGATTTAGAAAAAAATGTGGACTATTTTTCGCGGGCGACCTTTATCTTTTGCATTATTCGCGGAAACTTTTTTCATGCAACTTGATTTAAGTTAATATTTAACGAACTTCAAAGAGAATTGAACTTAATTTAACTTATATCGTTGTATGTGAATATTTTTACTGAATTGCACTTTAATTTCCAATATTATTACATATGCTAGTAATCTATAGCTTACAAATACAAAATCGAATAATATTAAATATTATTACAAAAAAAAAAAACAGATTAATGCTTCTAGGTTCCAAACTTACCTTGCATTCATCTAGTCAATGTCGGCAAAATTTATAATAAACTACCGGACAATTTGAAATATATAAGAAAAAATAAAATATTTAGAACTTAAAAAACTTCTAATAAAAGAAATGGAATAGTGTCAGAGAATTAACTGAGAATTAATAATAACTAATTTGACTGATAATTTTTAATAAAATCACTTAAATTATTAAATTATATGTATTAATATATACATATAAATCAGTAAAACGTTTTTCATGTATAAATTCTATAATCATATTATATGTTGGTATATATATTATTATATTAATAACTTTTACCTACTATTAATTCTTTTAAATATTGTTTCAGATACCTACAATGAATGCTGTTATTTACGGTTTTACTGTATCCGTACTCATAATTGCAAGTAAGTGCATTTATTTTTTAATTAAAAATTAAAATTAAAAATATATTACTATATTATATAACGTAACAAAACAGTCACTGAAGCAGAATAAACAGAAGATTTAGAAAGATATTTTCTAACATACAACTTCTTTCTTCTTTAAAGTAGTTTACGTCGTTCGTCGACATATTTTGAAAATAGACATCGAAGGAATCGAACCCGCGACCATGCAGCGGTGGACTAAACCGCTACACCACCAATTGGTATTAATTTAGGAGATAAAATAGCTGTAATTAAAAAGATGACTAGACGTATAATAAAGTTTCTAGCATGCAATAGAAGCAGACTCGATTAAAAGAAATTATTCTCAGTCATTCAACACAATACTGGCCTAATGAGTAGGGCTCTAACAAGCCTTATTCAAGCTTCTCGTAGTAAATGTATCACCAGATATATAACAATATGTAGTATTGTACAGTTTTGTGTATTTCGTAGAGTCACGTGTAAACTCTTTTATACTTTATCATAGTGACATTATAGACAGCTCCAATTACTTTTACATATGTATATCCATATATTATTTGCATCTACCTGGCGGCTCATTCCGGCTTTACACATGTAGACATTGTGTAAAGAATCCTAATTATTCATTGTAATAAATATAGCCTATGTTACTCCGGTATAAATTATTATACTAATAGTGAAAGAATACTTGAAATCGATTCAGTAAATTTTGGGATATTCCGTTACAAAATATCTTTCTTCATATATTATAGAATTAGGTATTATTTTCCGGAAGTCCATTTCATTATTTATTCAATTTTGATTATTTTGTTTAGTTCCGCTATCATTAGTATGTATGACCACAAATATTCAGTGTGGAAATTCAGTGAGGTCCTAACGATAGGATCAAAGTTTTATATTTTCAGAAATATGAACTCATATGTTTAATGCGTTCTAATTTTAAATCAAACTGAGTGTGGAATAGGCACCAAAAGCAAAATCTACAACTCATCATTAAGTTAGCCTAGTCTCTGAGAAGCACTTCTTCCTTTGTATTATTATTTATTCTTTATTACACTATCTAAAATAATGTACAATTGGCGAGTTAAATGCCAGATGGCATTTTCTAACAAAACAAAAAGCGGTTGAAGGGCAATAATGAGAAAAGGCATATTGTATTTGTAAATACAAATAGATATACAGTTTGTATATCTATTTGTATTTACCTAACTTAGGTAAATGTGTCAATACTATGCTTACATAACAATAATATATACGTACTTAAATACTTTCTATAACAGATACTATATATATTATCAATACGAAATCTTCTACTAGTTTCTGGGGATTTTCAACCCAGGTAATTGAATAAAATATCAGATTTCTACTGCAGTTTGTAGTCGTAATATACCAACAGATTGTTTACTTTGTAATTTAATAATAATAATAATAATCTCAAGACTATTCACACAGCGCCATCTAGTCCTAAGTTAAGCTAGCTAAAGCTTGTGTTATGGGTACTAGATAACTGATACAAGTACATCGATTTTTTTTTTCGTAAATACATACATATAAATATATACTATGTAAATTCATAGAAAACACCCAGAAAAATGTTTCTGCCGTGCGAGGAATCGAAGCCGCTATCATCGGACGTAAAGCGGTGTGCTAGACCGCTAGACCACCGAGGTCGTCACTTTGTAGTTTATTTTTTGGGACATCCAATACAGCAGTTGTGAGGGTATTTTTTACATAGTAAATGCATCGTTCCCTCTAGAAGCAAAAATCCGTGTCAGCGGTAAAGTTTGAGCGACATCGCTGTTTCAGCGGTTAGAGCGAGTTCGTTAGTACGCCTTTGTTAGAACTAAGTGAAAAAGCTCGCCCAGTTTTGCGGAATATCTCACCATAAATAGCGGTAGTTTCGTCTAGTTAGTTTAATGAAAATACATTCATTGCTAAATGTTTCTCTCTTTTTAATATTTCTTTTATATGTCTGTATAACAAACCATCTCTTTTATCAACGTAGAATTTGTGTAAACTCGCCTTTTTTATGTAATTAAAAGTAAATAAATATTCTCAGCATAATTTACACAGTGCCCTCTAGACACAAGTTAAGTTAGCTAGCTTGCGTTATGGCGAGATAACTGATACAAATACATTTTTTTCATTAATACATACTGTACATAGAAACACCCAGACCGATACAAACAATCATACTCATGAATACAAATGTTTGTGCCGTGCGAAGAATCGAACCCGCGACCATTGAAATTAAGGCGGTGTGCTAAGCCGCTAGACCACCGATGCCATCGGTATGGAAAACAAACTCACCCTTTTGATGGTAAGCGGTGATTATATACAGAAACAGCACTATAAATATCAGGTTATCTTGTCACACCTACTTACTCATTTCATCGCCATTCCAGAGGACTCTTAGCTACTCGACCCGGCTTCGCAAGGTACATGTCTTATATATATAAAACTTCCTTTTGAATCACACAAACTATTAAAAAAAACCGCTTCAAAATCCGTTGCGTAATTTTAAAGATTTAAGCATACATAGGGACAGACAGCGATAGCGACTTCTTTTTATACTATGTAATGAGGATGCTAAATTAATACGTTTAAGATCTTTTAAAATTGTAGCTAAACATGAAGTCGAGGTCTTCCGCACATCTTTTGTGTAAGATAACACGCTTCTTCGTTTTTTGTAACTGGAAAACAGGTTTAGAAGGGTTACTACCCTTCTAAATCTGTTTTCCAGTTACAAATAAAAAACGAAACTTGTATTCAAATTTCGAATTTTTCAATCATTCACCGAAAACACAGCGACAATTCGCAAGCAAATTACTTCCAAGTTTAAAATTGGAATCCAAAGACAACTCTCTCGGAATATTGATTGGAAGTTACTCATTAATTCTTTCCATTGGATCATTCTTTCACTCGGAGTTAATTTCGTGAGATGGAAAGTCAAGATTTTTAAAAGGTTTTCTTTAATTCATGTGTTAATTTAATTCTGTTTTTTTTTTTTAAGTTTACACTAATAAAAGCTTACGTAACAATAATAAATAATTTTTATCTAAATGTCGTTTAACTGAAGTCAGTATTTCTTTTTATGATAATTGCGTAAGGTTTTACGACAAACTACCATAATCTACCTGAAAAAAGATTCAAATGTCATATAAAACACTTCCTTTGTAAAAAAAAAGTTTACTATAAAATTGAACAGTTCGTTAACGATAATTATGTTTTTGTAGAAAAACTTGAAATTCATAGCGTTGACAATATTATCTGTTTGCATTAATAATAAGTGCGTAACGGTTTCTATGTTAATTAACGCATGCCTCTTACTTATTATTGTGAAATTATTTATTATTAATCAAAAGAGCAACACACAAGTTTCTAGCGAGAGATAAGCGATGAGTTTGCGTACCGAATGAGTGGTAGAATAAAAAATATGACTATTCAAAAGTGCTTGTATTGAGTTTGTTTGAATAAAGGTTATTTCTGTTTTCATTTGAAATATTTTTTTATCTTTCTTTTATTTAATTATCATCATGTGTAATTGTTAATACTGAATTTTTACTTATATTTTTTTTTTTAATTCGCTTCATCGCTCCGGTGTATTCCGATAAAAAATATCATGAACATGATCTATCTGTGCACGGAATTTCATTTCAATTCGAACAGCAGTTGCGTGAAAGAGTAATAGAAATCTAGCATTACAACTTTTGCATCTGTAATATTAGTATGGATTACGAATTAAATTTCAGATTACTCTATTCGAGTGTATAGGTACAGTTTGTGCTCCACTTCGATCAATAATCCAAGAGAGCATTGCCAGCTGGTGTATTAATTGAATTATCTATAAATGTATAACTAAATGTGTACAGAACTACTAGTTCATGTAGAACAGTAACTCCAATATACAGCCGTATCGGCAGTAATTGGAGTCTCTGGCTCTGAATAGCACTTTTTGGGATACCGAATACATTTTATTGACGGACTATGAAAAATCCTTACTTATATTATAAATGCGGAACTAACGCGCTTATAGGCCAAAATTACTGAACCGATTTTAATGAAATTTACACACACAGTCTATACCCTGAGAAAAGACATAGGCTACTTTTTTTATGCGATAAAATGGTCATAATGGGTTGAGAGGGGAGATGAAAGGTTGTATCGAAGTATCTTAATTTTTAAAGCTAGAAGCTCGAAATATATATTTTAAGCTGTCGATTACCCATGTTAGATATACGTAAATATGTCATTTAAAGTTTGTAAAAATTTTATTCTTAAGGGGTAAATATAAAATAGGGGATGTCAGTTTTTATGGAAATTCGTTATATTTGAAGCTAGAACCTTGAAACTTTTTTCTTTGTATTCTTTAGGGTAGAATATTAAATTTTATGCTATCTAAGATCACTATTCCACGCGGATAAAATCACGAGCACAGCTTATAGAATATAAATAAAAAAAAAATTACTAACTCGGATATATGTATTTTTATTTTTCGGCATGTATAAAAATTCCCGTTCTATAAAAAGCACATTATATTATTTGTTTTATCTTTATACTATTTTTATTTTAATTGCAATGTGTGTTGAAATGTAGCACTGTATTTTGTATCGGTTTCACTATTATTTTTATACCACGATGGTGGTATTACCTAATCTAATTATAAATGTTCGGATTACGACCACAGATTCAATTATTTCCTTTTGATAATAATGCTATAGCATAGATACCACATTACCCCTAATTTAATTAAAAAATTAACCTTTAATTATGTTTCCTTGTACGAACTCATTTGAAAATATTGTAACTGAGTTTCTTCTCAGTTCTTTTTAGCCAATGCGCTGCGAACTGACTATAGATTTGACATATCATAAGAGTTTGTAATGGGCCTATATGAATAAAGATAGTTTTCTATGATTACTTACATATTGTGTTACCGTAGTCTTTACATATACTATGCTGTAGGCTCCAAAGAAACCTGATGTGAACAATACTAG